GGCATGGCGACCTCCAGCCGGCGGGCGCGCGGCACGGGCACGGCGACTTACTCGGATATGAGCCTCAGGAGCTGCATGCACTCGGACGTGATTTCCGGCTGCCTGTCCTGCGTCATCGACAGGATTCGTTTCTAGGAAGAAAGATCACAAAACGAACAGGCTTCGTTCCAGCACCGTCTGCGTGACACCAGATGCGGCATGGGCGCGGGGACCTCCAGCAGGGAAGGGCACCCCCCAGGGCACCGCGCCCCCCCCACTGCCGCACAGGACGCACTCACTGCCCCATCGAGGCACCCCCACGTCAGCACCCGACTGGCAGCCTGGCACCATCACCCCCGAGGCCGACGCGCACGACGCCAGCAGCGCCCTCTCCCGCCCCCACCGCACGGCCGGGGCCCCGCGTCCCCCGGACTTACAGCCCCGCCTTTGTTCTCTCCCCACAGCAGTACCGAGGATGTGGGGCTGGGTCGTCCCCTCGAGGGATGGGGCATCCAGCTACGTCGTTGGTGCCCTCAGATGGCAGCACCCCCTCCCCCATGGGCGCTAGCACCCAAGCGTCCCCAGCCTTTCCTAGTGTCCCCAGCTGTCACCGCTGGTGCGGATGGACCGTGAGAGGGAAGTGTGCAGAAACGGGAAGCAGAAGCCTGGGACCCTCGGGGCTGCAGGGAAGCACTCTGCGGCCGCCTCCACCTGCGCTGCTGGCCGAGCACAGTCGCCCAAAACCACGGTCCATATCCCTGCCGGTCTGGGGGTGTGAGCTCCACACACGTGTGGCCATCCAGAGGACAAGCCTACATAGTGCTTCTTTCCTACAAGGGACGGTGGACGACTCTGCACAACCTCTCTCCCCAGAAACGGGCCATGGGTCCCAGCTGGCTGGCACACGGGGTCGGCACCACATCGTCCCCCTCCGTGGGGATTCACCACCACCCCCAGGAGGCCCTCCATGCCCCTGTGGACACTGGGGTGTCCGCCACTGGGCTTTCAACCTCCCCTCACTCCTCTCTACATGTGGACTTTACTTTTCCCAGAGACAGTGGGAATCACCACGTGGAAGTTGGGACCACAGGGCAGGGCACATGGTCGTCCCCAGAGCCGCCTGACATGAGGCCCCGTCCCCAGAGCTGCCGATGTGGGACCCCATCCCCAAATGCTGCCACTCATCATCTCACGGGGCTCACAAAACCAGGACTGGGAGCTTCTGCCCCCCTGGACACAACTGCGCCCTGACAGGGCCAGGGCATGCTGCCCCCAGCTCGGCCCCTTGCACAGTGCAGTGTTCCAGGGTGCAAGGGTCTGAGAAATGGCGGGAGGTATGGGAGGGCCGCCTGCAACAGCCCCTCACCCTCATGGCGGGGGCCTCCCTGCACCCGAGGGAAAGGCGCATCCTGAGCTCCCAGACAGTACAGAGGACTGTGCTCCCGTCTTTCCCTGGTGCCCACTCTTCCTCAGGCGTGACATCACTCTTCTGGGGGTCTCCGCGTCCTGGGAATGCTCCCGGGTCAGGGAAGACTTCTATAAATACATGGGCATGCGTGGCTCCTGGCTGTCCGGCCTCACTGGTTTCCTGCTCAACCCCGCTGGGAACCCTGACACGGTCAAGGAACGCTGGGTTCTCCCCCACACCCGCAAGGATGAGATGACCCCCACCGGGTGGCCCCTGCCACACAGGCTGGCCCTCCACGTTCACTGGGCACCTCCGTGGCCCGACTCCTGCTCCCGTCCAGCCACGGGTCCCGGGTTGGAGTGCTCGACTGAGCGACGGTTGGGAGTCCTCCAGAATGGGCGGCGGGGTCTCGCGACGGCGTCCTGGGTGACGGCGTGGCCCCCGAACTCAGGAACAAACTGGGTACCAGTGCACCATGAGCTGCACTCCCGCACTGTCCCGTGCAGCCTACTACCGACCCACAGTCCGGAGCAGCTCTGAACCTCTGCGAGGGGACCCTGGAGATCAACGGCCTCAGCTGCTCCTCCATCAGGTCAGCGCTGCTGACCCTGCCAGCTTCTGCACCACAAGCTCGAGGTCAGCACCCCCACTGGCCCACTGGGGCTGTGCACACGCTCCAACCTCAGCCCTGCACACAGAGCACCCTGCTGCCGGGGTCCACGTCACCCGGCGGGCCGTGAAGCACGGGCAGCTGGGCCCTGGGCTCGGACACCCAGAGAAGCTTCCAGTTCATCTTCTGCAGGACAACAGCCCCAAGCACCGGGCTGAGACGTGGCCAGCACTCTAGGCCAACCGGCGGCTGCTGGACACGGCCCCACTTCCACACATCCCCCGAGATGCTTGGGTACGTGGACACCGGGCACCGGCCACGGGGGGCGCAGCAACGACACGCAAAATCTCACTCACCTTGAACTTATAGAAGAAAAGGCCCAACTTCATAGCCGATTCTCTTTTCTCATAGAGTGCCTTCAGTGCCAGGATGCACTTCATCCGCACACTCGCGTCCTTCGGGACAGAGGAACGGGGTCCGGTTACCACGGAAGGGCAGCTCCCCACCACAGACTCTCGTCAGAAATGCCTCTGTCCGTGACAGCACAGGTCAGCCCTCAGCCTAAAACGTTCTAGGTGGGACATGGGGCTTTACAACCCCCGCACAGTCTTGAAATACGCCTGCTGGGGTCTGAACTGTGCATCCCAAAGTCACATGTTGAAACCCTTGCCCCCAGGACCTCAGGATGGGGCAGTATTGGCAGGTGGGGTCTTTAAAGAGGGGATTAAGTTGTAAAATGAGGTCACAAGGGTGAGCCTGATCCCATAGGATTGGTGTCCTTACAAGAAGAGGGGATGACGGCACAGATATCCACAGAGACAACCACGTGAGGACACGGG